CCGCCGTCCAGGGTCAGCATGGGGCCCAATTCTTCCGTAGTGAAGGTCGCAGGGACCCCGGAGCCCAAAGCGTCTGCGGGTGGCTCGACACCAGCACTAGAGCTGTTCCCTCCAAGTCGGTTAGCCGCTTGATCTACGATATTCTGCACGTTTTGGAGGCCTTGCGTAGTCGACAGACTGGGTCGCATCCTCGAAGGCAGACTCCCAGTCTGGCCTTCGTTCTCTCGGATAGTGGCGCTCTCATCTTCTCTGTTGCTAGTAGCCGACATCTTGTCCTTCCTTCTGACGCTCTCCGCGAGACTTCACTTGGAACAAGACCTTCTCCAGCAAGCAGACTACCCTGCTTCTCCACCAGATGTTGTATACCTCCTCTTCCGTCAAGGGTCGGGTAGTCCGCGGCTGTTCAGGGAGTACGGTCTTGTTCAGTGGCTGCAGGAACGGTAGATAGGAACACTAGAGAGTTAAAAATAAAAGTTTGCTGATTGGCTTGGCTTCCTCTTGAGTAGAAGGAGGGAAATATAAGACTGAGAGCTAACCGGAAGAGAGGTCTAACACCTTCTCGGCCTAACATACACTACACTTCATATTAAAAAAAAGGAAGGATTCACTTCGTTTGTTGTCGGCCTTCGTGGGACAACGGAGAGCTTCTGGGAAGGGACTTGATGTCGCGAAGTGCTTTTGGTCCCACGACGCCAAGACACCGGCGTTCTGGGGCCCCCTTATAGGACCACCCTAACGGGCTCGGTCAGGGGCACGTGCGTTGTTGGGTATAACGGGAACCACCCTAACGGGACGGCTGGACGAGGAGTGATTCCAGGGTCTCGAGTCATCCCGACGGGAGGCAGAGCTCCTGGAATGACCCCTCCGTTCCCGGGTACGGGACACATTGCCTTGAGAATGACGGCGTAGACGGAGCTCCTCTGCTTGATCTCGTCCAGGAAAAGGGCATAGCGAGCCACCATCTCGAACGTGAAATGCTACCGCATGTGGCCGGGCGCAGGCAGTACTCGCACATGCGGCGCGGTTGTTGATCGTGCACAGCGTTGCCATCAGCGTACTGGTTGAGTCTACCTCAGTGTTGTAGTCAATCAAATAGATGCTAGGAGACGCTCGGCCAATCCGAGGCATGACGCAGTAGCTTGATTAATAGCGCCATAATCACCAAACAGGTACGCCATGCCTGATTACGATAGGTGGATAGCTCCTGGTTTTATTAATACATGCGCAATTTGAATGGGCCGTCAGTTCACCTTTCTCCATCAGCGTAATGACGAGGAGCCCTAGCTTGACCCGAACCTTGTGAAAATACACCCCATTGATAGTCACGCTGCTTTCCAGATAAAAAAGAGAAGGTTTGAACATAAAGCCATATTGGTCTGACTTATCGCCGCTAATCACGAGTCACAGATTTCTGGACCATGTGATTAGCTGATCAAACCTACCTGCCAACCGTGAGAACCACTAGTAAGATTATTTGACTAGTGTGCGGAACGCGTACAATTAGCTAAAAAATTTCTTCAGTGCTTGGAGATTTTCTTAATATCAATAGTACAGTGCCCACGGTAGTTAATCACGCTTATTAATACATGTACAGTCATGCACCTCCAATTCGGCAGGGCGGACCATATCAACAGTGCCAGGGCATAAGTGCACAGCGTAAAGCAAAAAACAAACGCAAATCCAGTGCACTTCTATTTTATTTGTTAATTCAGTACCAAATATACGCCAATCTTCTGCAAAATCTTGGCGTCAGACGCGCGAATCGAGGGCGCGCAACAGCGTTTCCGGTCGCGATAGGCGTCCGGCAAGGCGGCAACTTCCGCGGACCGCTTAAGAATACTCTGGACGGTAGTGCGCTTTACTGCTTGGGGCCCCCAAGTTGGTAGGTCTTAAAGCGCTCCGTTGCCCAACGAGCAAGATCGAAGTGAGAGCATGCAGGATCTGACTTGTGCTTCTCGCACAAAGACTGCTTTTGTGGGACATGTAGGAGGAAGGGCGATGTCCCATTGTATTTGGCGGTAAAAATCAAAGTGTGTGTTTGTATGAAGACGTCCGATCCAAAATTTAAACTCAGATCGATGCGACGTGTCATCCCTCGGCGACGAGGGGAAAACCGTTGAGGTTAATTGCTAGGGTGGTGATGGGCAAAGGTAATTGCGCATCCGATTCGCGTAATCATAAAATCTGGCAGGGTATCGACTGATACCGGTGCCGAATTGAAGGTGCACGACTGTATATGCGGATGGGTAAGCCTGAATAAACATATATATTTTAAATTTCGAAAAGACGGCCAAAAATTTCCATGGAACGAACGTTAGGTTTGTTATAAAACCGAGAAAACTCTGCGAAAGTGATTCTTCTCTTTTTTTGTCGCCAACGTCATGTCCACGGCTGCTTAAGTTTAGTCTCGCCGTCATTCTCAAAAACCTCTTCTCGACGAGATGCCTCTGCCAAATATTCCTTTCGCGTATCCAATTATTCTACAATCCGTACGCACTCACAAGAATCTTCAATGTCCTCACGGATCGAAGAATGCGCGCTGTCTGCAAGACAATCGTGATTATTACGAGCAGATTTGTCTACACCACGGAAATCACGAAGAAAAGGTCGCCATCCAGTCTGTCTATAACAAGCGATTTCTTACGGTTCTCTCGACTGGTGCGTGTAATTTCGAAGCGACACAATTCGGTCCTCGCGAATATTTCAAAATGGAGACAGATTCAGAGTGTTCTCTCTTTTTTGTGTCGTGTCAAACGGGAAATGTGCTACAATGTGGGGTCGACGGCGTCGTCAAGTGCACCAACACGAATTATCAACGCAACGAGTCGTGGCGGATCCTGGAGCCTCGTGTGGGTTTAGTAGATCACTCGGATCGCCCAAAACCTCGTATATGTTGAATACGACTACGATCAGACGTGCGGGTTTCAATAAATAAAACTGCGGATCACAATTTTTTTCTTCCGTTTGTCGGGTCAGTTCACGTAACAGCGAGGGGAATGTAAGTTTCATTCTGAAGGCCAGTCTGCTTTCTTCTATAGATTTCCATCTGTCCTAGCCAGTCATATTGCACAATGTACAGTAGAAGCCACCTTTGGCACTCTCCTTCTTCATCGCACTTGCCATTTTGTGCTCATCTGATCAGCACACCCAAAGCTTCGCCATGGATCTAACCGAGATTCCGTTTAACTCATCAGTGATCCTTCAGTCAATCCGCAAAGGAAAAAGCTTGCAGAACCCGCTTGGCTCCAAGAAGGCTCGCTGTTTAACCGACAACCGCGATCGCTACGAGCAAGTGTTCTTACATCGTGTCCGTGACGACAAGATCGCCATCCAGTCAGCTCACAATGGACGCTTCCTCCAAGTTCGTGCAAATGGAGAGTGCGTCTTTGACCCTAAAGAGCCTGGCGAGTGGGAGCTCTTCACCATGGAGACGGACTCGAGCTGTGCGCTGTACTTTGTGTCGTGCCACACGGGGAATGTCCTTCATTGCAACGACAGCAATGAAGCCAGGTGTGCAAACCAGAACCGTCAAGACTGGGAGGCGTGGAGGATCGTGGAGCCCCGTATAAATTCAATTGCCACCCACCCGCAGCGAGCTGTGGATCACCGCTACGTCCTTGCGGGCAAAGACCGTCAGCACTTGGTTCTGGAGCTCGCGAGATGCGGGAAGACACCGACCGAGATCGAGCAAATTGTGACGAGCCTGTTTGATGCTCCACTTGCCATAGCTTCAGGCTCGGCTCTTGCTGTTCAAGTCGACAAGGAGTAGGCAAGGCAGATGCTGGATTTCTTCCATACATCTTGCATTCATTTACTGTTTATGGATGGCACCACGTTTAACAGCAAAAAATCTCGCTGTGCTCAAGGCGGCCTTATACGGAGAAGCTAGGAGAATCGTCATGACTTTTAACCTTATCTTGATCATCTTTTCAGTTTCACCAACATTTTGTTTTGTGGTATTTAACAATTATTACTAGGCGGGGCACGATGATACCATACATACAAGTCAGCACTTGGGAACCAAGTGGGTCGGCGAATTTCTCTGTCGTGAACTTAGGCCGTGTTCGGCTTGGAGGGCTTGTTCGAAAATAAGCTAGAGCTGTAGAATAGTCGTTTTGTTAAGTAAAATAAAGATAAAATAAGTGATCGTGTTCCCCAGAAAAAGACTGGATTTGAAGGCGCAAAGCAGGACGATTCAAAATTCAACCCAGAGCTAAATTTTGAAACCAGTCGTTTGGAGCTATCCTGCTGGATGTCATTTTTTGTGTTTCTTAGCGGAATAAAGCTGGTTGAGACATTCCAGCTCTTTAATACCAATTACAGCTGGTTTTAGCTTAAATCGAACACGGCCTTAGAGTTTATTTAAACTTAGCATTATTTGTAGAGGCAATAATTAGAATACATGTAGTCCGAAGAATAGATTTAGGAGCATGCTATTTGGGTGCCAACCGTAGCTTGCCAGATCCAATCGCATTCTCATTGGATTGGGCACGTGTCGTCAGCGTTTGACGAAAATAGTTTGACGGAATGCTTATATCGTAGAAGTACATGTTCTACGTAGTGCTTATTATAAGTACTAACATTATAATACATAGCGCCAGACTACATGTAGTAGAGTCAATATAAATTAGAACGACACGCAGTGTCAATATAATTTCTGACTTCTGAACGGGGTTCAGTTATTCACTGACAGTGAGCAGATATGAGAAACTCTAATGGTGACTTGAAGTATTTTATCAAAAGTGAATTCGGCTATGAGCGGCGGCAACGAAGTGCCAAGCCCACTTCATCCTATCAAATGCTACAAGTTAATTGCACAACCTGCTCGTCGAGACTTCTGATGATGACGACGGTCGTCATTATCAGAAGTTCCGTGCTAGCTACTCGCAGAAAGGTTCGGGCAACTTTACTCAAGTTAACCCATTTAATGCGAAAGTTAACCCATTCAATGCGAATCATGACTCATTTTCCATCCCGCCATTCGAGCTTTTCCCTTCCCCATGGATCTTACCGACATCCCGTTCAACGTGCCTGTGATCCTCTGGTCGTTCTTTCGCCAAAAGACCCTGCAGAGCCCTTTCGGCACCAAGAAAGCGCACTGCCTGACCGACAACCGCGACTTCTACGAGCAAATGATCTTACGTCGTGTCCGTGACGATAAGGTCGCCATCCAGTCCGTTCACAATGGGCGCTACCTTCAAGTTCGCTCAAGCGGGGAATGCGTCTTCGACTCGAAAGAGCCTGGAGAGCGTGAGTTCTTCACGATGGAGACGCACTCGAACTACTTCTGCTGTGCTCTGTACTTCGTGTCGTGCAACACGGGACTCGTCCTTCAATGCGATGAGAACGATGTCGTCAAGTGTGCGAACCAATTGCGCGAAGTTTGCGAGGCCTGGAGGATCGTGGAGCCCCGTACAAGCACTGCCCCAACTACCACCGCACTGCAGCGAGTTGGCAGCCAACGCTACGTTCTGGCCGAAGAAGATCGCCAGCGTGTAGTCGAGGAGCTCGCTGGACGCGGAAAGACTCCAGAGGAGATCGAGCAAATCGTCATGATAGTCGTTGATGCTCCTGTGGCTACCGCTTCGACCTCACCTCTCGTCGTACCAGTCTACAAGGCGTAGACTCAGTTCACAGCAGCCCTGGGTATCTTCATGTTGATAACAGCGTATTAATCTCAGCGTACCGGAACTTGCTGGCTCGTACTGGAGAGTGTACCATCAGTAGACGAGAGGAGAGCGATTCGATTAGCCTCATAGTCTTCTACTAATTCATCCATCTTCACTTGAACATCATCTGAATAATCTCGCCATTGTTGCAATGCATCTTGCAGCACTGGATGTTCCATACTCAACGTCTCCACTAGCAGCGGCAAGTACGGATTCTGACGACTAGTGTTCTCATCGTACACTTGCTGGAAAGATGTAAACACCTCTGACAAATTCGCCATAGGAGCCAACAAATAACGTCGACACCACTCCACTTTCTTCTGGCCAAGATTGTGTACACGTTTGGCCAACCTACGCAGAATCTCATCCTGTGTACACCATGCGGTTCGCCAGTACTCAGCCTCTCTCCGAGCAGCCATCATGTCGTTCTCAACAGCAGTATATCTAGCATGCAGCTGCTTCAGCATCGTCTTCGCTTGTCTCTCGCGTTCTTTCCCACCCCCAAGACCTTTTGCACTGGACGATAACGTCGTCATAATATCTCCAGCTGTTACACCGTCGTCATTTGCTGCATTTCGAGTTGACGTTGGCACCACAACACCAAAAGCTGCAACTTCGAGAAGCAAATCCCGTATACTTCGTCCCAGTTCATACGCACTCGAGCGTAGAGGGTCAATAGTTGAGACTTTCGGGGGACAATGCTGCAGCACTTGAGCGCTCAGAGCATCCAGTTGTGTCGATACAGCAGCCAGCGTACTCTCTAGTTGCTTCACTCTATCAACTCGCAGATGCGCGATACTTAACGGCGCTCCAGTGTAGAGCTCACTCATCTTCATCGACGTGTCCTGGCTACGTAAAAATGGGGTTGACACGTCACTAACACGGAGCTTTGACTCATAGCAGACGTTCGTAGCGGTAGCTGCGCCTCGAATTTGTGCCTCTACACGCGTCAGTTCGTCCATGAGCTTATCAGGTACAGCCAACATCCACTTGATCGGCTGTCGAGCTCCAGTCTCTTCTGGTTCAGTCGTATTCTGTTCGGCGCCAGCAGCTCTAGCTTCTTCCTTCCCAGCTTCAATTACAGAGCGCCAATTGTTCAGCGCACACATCAAATTCGTTTCAGCATTGTCATGAGCCTGCATCGCCTCTTGTAGGAGCCTCACTTGTCGCTGAAGCTGCATGTTCTGTGCTTGCAATAGTCTCATGCGCTTCTGTGCGAACTCTACGGAGTCCAGATGAGCATCCAGCATTCCGTTGTTGGAGTTATCGGACTGGAGCACGGCGTTTAGAGCCTCTAGTTGCTTGATTTCTTCCCGCAGTTTAACGTTCTCGCTCGTTAACGCGGCGTTTTCTTCCTGTAAAATCTGCATTGAGTTCTTCTTAAACTTCGATGCGAAGTACGATGGCTTGCTTGGAAGTGTCCGCTCGATTGAAATACCCGCTCCAGTCTGGTGACGACTTGTTCGCGCTTCAAGCTCGTCTTGTTCGAAAGGTGAATCGATCGTCGTGTCAAAGTTCCAATCTAACGCTGTGTTCTTGTTGTTCGAAGAAGACTGGGAAGTGATGCTGTCTTTTTTACGAGTAGCTGAGAGACAGCGAAGTCGATTTGAAGTCGGTTTTAATGGAGGAAATCTCGTGCGGCGTGTAACTTCGTCGTCTTCGGCTGTGTCGTCTTGGATGTCGCCACGATCGTCTTGTGCATCGTCGTCCCTTTCACATCTTGTGTCCTGACGCGATGCAGCATAACGCGCGGCAAGTAGTGAAGAGCTATTGGTACTGACCCCACTTGCCGCACTCCGTCGCGACGATTTGATCCGCGTGAGCAAATGTCGAAATGCTTGAGCACAGCATTCTTTATCAAACACAAGCTTCTGCCAGGTAATTAGCGCTGGTGCTCCCAGTCTCTGCAAGGAATATGGTCTTTAGTATGCACTGTCATTATTGAAGAGGTTAAGGCCAACGTACCGCCAGTTCCGCAGCTGTTACTTGCATAAAGTCCGCTCGATAGTTTTCCTCCTTTTTCCGCACCACGACTCGATCTCTAAGTAGTAATATGTCAACAAGTAGCTCTCAATAGCTGCATCAATGTTTACTACATGTAGAAGCAGAATTGCAGCTCACACACACGTCGTCGAGCAATTTGTCTGCCTTGCGCTCAAGTTTGCGGTCTCTGCTCTTGATTTGCAGCTCATCCGCCACTACACCCGAAGAGACTTGCTGCAGTACGTATACAAAGTCGATTTGACACTGAATGTGAGCTTTAGCAGTCTAGAAACAATAATAATGGACTGATCCGCACCTCTCGGAAGAGAGCTATAAACACCGTCTCCTTGACTCTCCACGGCATATCGCGCAGCTGTGACGCCGACTGCAGCAAGAAAAACCCACTAAAACGCATGTTGACGGACAGAGATAAATATGTAAGCCTTACCAGCTGCGCTAGCGCAGGCAGCGTCGCCAGGTCCTGGTGCAGGCGGTCCATTATTTGCGCACTAAGTGGTTATGCTATGTGGAGTACACGAAACTAAATGTTTTGTGTGTCAAACACAAAACGATATTGAAGATGGTCAGAGCTTCCTCCGTCCGTGCCAATTCACAAGCATCGTTATGAGTCCCGATACTACTTTGGTCGTCGATATTATGTCGGGGGATTGGGGGTCCTAACGTCGCAAGGCATGTGAGCTGTGAGCTTACCTGCGTGTCGAGTGCCAGTGCAATGCAGTCTGCCAGTGTCCACTGCCCCTGTCTACAAGCCACTGTCCACTGCCAGTGTCTGCAAGACACATCTCAAGGACACTCATGCACCTCCTGGCAGTGCAGCTTCCGGCTGCACTACAACCGGCTACACTGAGTACACATGCGTGCAATGGCGAAGAACTATACCGAAGACTGTATGCACAAGGACATCGTTAGCTATGCGCTGCCAAGATGGTGTGCTCAACGAGAGTGCGTTTATTTAGACATTTGTATTGACTTTTTTGCTATTTGTATTCTAATCTACCTGTTGCGGAACAGCGGTGTTCTGGCGGAGGCTGCTCCCCACTTTGCGTTTTGACGCCTGCCGCTTACCCGAGAGCAGTAGAGAAGAGCAGCCTCATCAGACACCGCGGTCCTGTCGTGGCCTCTTGCCCGGATTTTACGTGTTTACACATTTCCTTGATTACTTCTCTAAAGTTGATCCTTAAGTGTATTTACATTTTAATGGCACCTACTCTTAGAAGCGATCGACACATGGAGAGCAATCCCCCGTGTCGAACCCTACGTCAAGAAGTCTGTTGTGGTGGTGTATGAGGACAGCTATTGCGCTACATCTCCAATTCAACTTATCTTCACGACCCCATGCAGTGTATTTCTCCCACTGCTGCTCAGTGTGAGATGATATTTGGCGGTCCAAATGCTGGTTATGAAAAGAAGACAGTGTATTGACATCAGTTCAGAGTTTGCCGACTCCAATTCCGCTCCCGCGTGGTCGATTCGTTCCGGGGAAAAATTTAGCGCGAAGGGGGAAAACTAATTCCCCGTATCTATATATTCTTTGGGGAGCCATAAAATTTGCCATGATGGGCAAGTGCCACCTCAAAGGCAACTGACGGGCCGCTTCTTATTTTTAACGATAATTCAGCATTAAACGGCTCGATCGGAATGGCTTCGTACTCAACATCGTCTTGTAAGGAATCAGAAGCTGCTAACTTCATCGTTGATACCTGGAATGTGAACACAGACAGATGTTTTGGTTATTGAATCTTCTGTACGAGCAAAATGGTCCTTCCAATAGCTATTTCGTCGCCTATCTCAACTCCAGCCACGACCATTTCACCTCCAATAGCGTGGACTCCTATGCCTTCATAAACTTCACCTCCAGTCACGGAGATCGAAGCTCGTCTTAGCACCATGCCCCCCTCTTGGTTGTGGGATGTGACCCTACCTCGAATCTTCGAGGGATATCATCGCCGTCAACACTCTCAATCTCCAGGGCACCGTCGTATTTCGTACCGAATTCATGTTTGCTTGGGCGAAGCTTTTATTGGTCAGGTACGCTACATACAGAAGGGGTTGTTTTCGCACTCGCAATCAAAAGACATGCACGGTGTCGACGAGAGCGTCTGACCGACCAGGTTGATATTGTTGGATACGTATCAGCACTCCGAGTCTGCATACATTGTGATGGTTGCCGTGCTGTCCGCCACATTTATGGAAACTTGTTCTACCGTCGACGCTGGTGTGGCATGTTCCGTCCACCAAGTTTGTGGTTACGTTTTCTGCCAAGTTGCATTACGGGCTCGAATATTCCTCCACGATCAAGTACGGGCTCTTAGCACCAAACAGTGCTGCCAAGTAATCAGTGATGCTACTCACACATCCAGGAATCACAAAGTGGGAACCGCCATCACGATGGCAAGTTACGTTTGCGGGAGCTACACACTGAAAACCTCAAGAAAATACTATTTGAATCGGAGTGTTCGAGCAGGCACTGTCATCATAGACACTCGCAACAATAAAATTTGGTAACACACCAACAATGAAAGCCGTCATATCACCTAAACTAGACCGCGCCATACTCTCATCAATGACTTCGAGCCAGATCGTGTTCGAGCTCTTTACCATGGTACAATTTGCATCACTGTACGTCGTGATTGTGGCTGAGCGGTCTAACGTGACTCGCAGTACACTCTGCGTTAGAGTAGCAGTTTTCAACCAGCCGATACATCTCGACGCTTGTCATATAATCACTTTGGCCTATCCGTCTCGCAATGTACCTTTCCACACCCAGATGCGAGACCCCTTCAAAGGCGTCACGGATGATCCCGAGATCATCCCAACCGTTTCAGTTGTAATAGGTGCAATCCGAGACCGAGTACCCTCCTGCACCTTTAGCGCAAACAGGGTCGAAGTGGTACACCTGAGGCGCACAGGTGAGTTAACTTGTTATTGACACGTATTAGGCAGGAGACTTG